ATTGCGCACTGTTTCTTGCTATTTCCAAGAGCGTTTCTAGCCATGCTTGTTACGGAGCCTTCACACTCCAACCAGGGAGCCGACAGTACCTGAAAACGGCTAACTTTAACGTTAGCTTCTTCATGCTCCTGGCCCAAGTCATACTTTGGCCACCTTACTTCCGCTTCCAGCTTACTTCTACGCATATGATGGGGGCATGGCGAGGTAAGCGATGAGTAAGTATGCGAAGATCTTTCTCAGGCCACTGAAGTCTGCGCAAAGCAATTATGCTGCTCATTGGCCAGCAAAGTCTGTCTGATCTGAAAATCCTCTGTCGAACCTCTTCATTACTAGTGTGATGTTACCATCGTGCGCCAGCAATGCTCCGAAGGCAGCGGTGATCAAAGGCAGACAGCTTCGCAACGTCCTTTGCGCGAACAGACCAAGTCTCGCAGCCGTAGAGCCGAACCGCTTTCACCGTGGCATTGTAAACTCGGCTCTTCATTGATAGACCTAGATCGCCTCGACGACAGAGATGGCGAAGATTGGCAAAAGAAACTGGGGCTTTGGAGACGTGCAAAGAGACCACATCCGTTAAACCGTTAGCGCTGAGTCAGCTTCCGTGATAAACGAACTTGTCTACCACTTCCAATGAATGGCCTAAAAGATAAAGGTAGGAGCAGCGGCTAGCCAGTCCTGCAGGAAGACCTTTCACTTCGATGGTGCGAAGGTCATTCCAAACTGGAAGACAGACACCAACCTACAATGACATTTTGAGGAATCGCAGATTACGGCGTTGTCGTCTGTATACTCATAAATTCCCGTAGGCTATCCCCCGAAACTAGCTCGACATTGCTGGGCTCTCAGTTCTCCAGAGCACTCTGTAGAATTCCGTCCATAGTGAAATGGAACGAGAAGGGGGATGCTGGACAACGCTGTCTCACGCCACTGGTGATACTAAAAGGGGAACGAAGGTTCGCCGTAGACCCACACTCGGCCCGACGTTTGAAAGCAGATGGTTTGAAGTAAGGTGATATACCTCTCGAGCACTCCCCTCCTCAGTAGACAATTCCAGATAGCAGCTCTACCGACTGAGTCAAAAGCGGCTCGTATGTCTAAGAATACAATGATCCTTAGCTGGCCAAATGTTTGACGACGCTCGAGTATTTGGTGGAGTGTAAAGATGTGATCGATAGAACTCCGACTTGAGCGGAACCCAGCTTTCTCTTCAGGTATTGTCTGTTCGCGTACCAAGCTGAGCTGCGTGCACCTTGGAAACAACAAAGATGAGACTAATGCCTCTGTGTTTGGCACAGTCAGTTCGGGTAACATTTTCGAAGACCATTTATCCATGAAAAGATCTATGAGTTGTTGTGTGTACAAAGTAGGGACTATATTCGCGCTGATGAGTATGATATCAGCAAAGTAAACTAAGTCACAAACGAATAAGCGCCTCACTCAATGGAATCGAATGTTGAAGAGCGATACAAAACCTCTTTTCAAATTGGGTCAAAAGTCTGCACGTGCACCCGGGATGTGCAAAATCTTCGCTGCAACACATGCACACACATTTTCAGAAGTGATGGTAAATAAAGCTTTTCACATGTCTATACCATAAAAAGAAGCAGTATAAGATATGATGACTACGAAATCGAGAATAAACTATTATGATCAAATACACCAGCCAGTTTCATAATTACAAGTGCACCGTCTAGTAGGAAACGTCCTAGCTAAGTGCTGGTTCGAGAACTTCATGCCAGGGTGTGAACAGATAAGGTGTTGGACTATTTTAGGATAAAAGGCTTGGATATGCATGAATTCTGCGCTTTGAGTGGTGTAACTGGCGGCAGCGAGCATTTATGCAGTAGTTGAAATTAGTCGACAGAGCAGTGTCAACAATTGTTGACCTGGGAATGTCATCTTATCGCAATAAATGTTTTGGTAACGCGCTAAGTGCTTTATTAAACTAACCACATAGGACCCAAATTTTATGGAGGCGCAGTACATCTAACAGGATAGAAGGTAGATATTAATGAAAGGAATACTTAGGATGACGGGTTGGAGGTGGAGGTGGATTTGTCCTGACAGCCCAGTTACTTGCCGCAGGCGGGGGTAACTAAGATGCGTGACACAAACGCGATAACATATACGAGTAAAACATAATGTACCCAATAAATAACGTCTGAACAGCTACGGGTGATTGAATTTAATCAGGCGAGATCAAAGTGTTGTGTAGCGCTCAATTCACATATAAACAGTAGATAATCGGATATCACATCCGGTGAAGCAGGTGGATATTTGAATAGTAGAGGTGCTACAAAGGCTACCACGATAAAACTCTGAAGGGACACTGCACGGTCATTTCGGCTGTTCGGAAAATACTAGCAGTGCGCAAATGAATACTCTTAACTACAAGCTCCTAAAAGCATACCTGCGGGCGCCGGTCCCAAAGGGGTCATTTGAAATGCACACTGCCGATGAATCCTAGAAGGAGGAACCAGCCTTCTTGTGCTCTCTGAACATGTGCTGGCTATCTGACTGCGCCTATCCGTTCTGAATTTCAGTGGATACCATACAAGCCCCTATATTACTTCACTGTAGTCTATACTCAGACCACACGTTAGCTCGTGGCTAATGTAGCAGGAATATGACACCTTGTAATTCGGTTGACTCAGTTACAGGTAGCGGGACTTGAACTATATTGTGAGTTTGTCCCCATGGATTTGCAGCTCCGCTACTTTAACGACGTACACATTTCATGCCGCTGAACTCGGTTGGGTCATTTCGATTGTAGAGCACGTTCCGAATACTTGTATAATAAAAGCTTATTTAAATTGATTTGAAATAAATGATGTTGCCTAGTCAGGCAACGAAACGTCTGCACAATAATCACTCAGCTCGGAGAACCGCTCAAAATCTGAGAGCTTACCTAATTGACATCACTCTATCGGGCTCAGTGAATAGTTGAATAGTGTATGATGGGAATAAAAGCAGTAGGTCTACAATACTTACAGGATGGTAAATGCAAGTAAAATCAAAGTGCTTTTGTCAGGAATGTGAAATAGCAGTAGTCTAGACATTGCGCTTTCTCATGCTGTTATGTAGCGTTTATCACTGGGATGAAATTCTAATCGTTTTTCGAATGTCGCAATGTCTATTGCGTTCAGCACATATGTTGGTAACGCGTTCCAGTGGAAACAGATTCAAAGAGAGTAAAAATACATTTTTACTATGAGCGCGAGTGTTTAGTAACAAGTCGTGGCGTCGACATGGTTGATCGCAATCAGTTAGTATACGGTGTGTGGGAATGAGGTCTCCGCGAAGACCTCGGTATTCTGAGGAGAACACAGCGAGTAAACCAAAGTACATTCCGCGTGTTGTCTTTGTGGCTCTTTCTTTGTGGTTGCTCCACGAGGCGAATGTCTCATTAAAACCATGAACCCCAGGCCTGAACCGCATATCCTACATGGATGCGAGTATACGAATTAGTCAGTATGGATACTAACCGTCGCTCAAAGGTACCGAAAGCTCATCTCAAAGTCTCAAATGCAAGCTCGCCAGGTCTTCTGCTTTTGAACATTGGGTCGGAATGCAGACTTCCTTGAACGACGATTCCTAAGGCTTTCACTGGTCCCGTTTTGCGCCAAATGATGTGTTGATGAATCTGCTGCGTAACGGCAGCGGTGGTACTTTGCAGGCTTCAGAAAGAATTGGTTCATTACTGCCCATTCGTGAACCCGGTCCAGATGGTTCTTGAGATGGGAACGGTCAATTTTGGGCGAATTACTTTTCAAACCATCTGCAAATATTTGTATCAGGATGGAATGTTTGCTGAGATGTCATTTGACTTCTTTGGTTTGGCACTATAGCAAATTTACTGCCATATACCCTCTGTGTATTTTATTTACTTGATGTGATTAAGATTTGACCTTAATCCCTCACACCAACGTTCTTTTTGCCTGCTACCAAATAATGTGGGTTTCGAAATAGTTTCAGGTCCGTCGCGGTCAATGCGTCTGCAAACGTACTTGTAGATGTCATTCTACTTTCGGCCAATAAGTAGTTTAACAGATTACGCAATAATTAATCTGTCTTTCCACGTGTGTCATGTCTGGCTTGTTTAATCTCGATTCGACGATCCTTTCCGCAGTGTATTAGACAGCGTTGATTCAAGCCATTCGATAACGTCTTTAAGGCTACCTTTAGATTACTTAAGGTAGTAAGGGGATCCATGCTGTTGTCGAGTGTGCTTGTTAAAACGGGAAAACCTGCCCAATGTCTTACAGACGTTTTGCACCTGGGATTCTGTGTGCCACATTTAAGTTGCTTACGTGTTGAGTATCCCTCGTGGAAAGTGAATCTAACAACCAGATTACTAGGGCATCAATAAATGTGCTATTAGCAAACGAATAAATTACTTAGGTGACTGATTGTATACGTGCTTCGAGCGCTCAGCTGGGAAAGAAGCATTGGCGGTTGCGCACAGTTTTTCTCACACAACAGCAAACATCGGTAGGAAATACCTCAAATTTCAATCAATAGACCAAAGACGACTCATAGTGTGTGCATGCGAACCGTCTTTGTGTCTATGGAAATTTCCGTCCTAGTTGAGGGCAGACATCATTCAATGAGTTTTGGTTAGTTTGCGGATTGAAACTCTAGGCAATTCCTCCTGATGTTCTCCGTCGCACGAGACTGAAAGCAGTACGCCACTTGCAGGGTCCTCTGGTAAAAACCGCCAGTCCTTCCTTCTCTACTAAATTACCGCGTTGGAAACGAGTATAATCGCGCTGAGCTACCAGTAAACATTCTGTCGGGCTCTAAGTGGCCAATCCGTTCACTAGCGATTTGTTATTAGTGAGCACTCAATTTGTCGAAGCAAGTCCTGCTTCTATTGTCTAAAATCTCGTATTTTAAAAGTTGATACCTCTACTGATAACTTTCTAGCATTTTATTACCATGTGATTTCAACTTTACACTGCCCATTTTATTTAATGGACCACTTTATTTAACTATTGCAGCGTAAAAGAAAATTTGTCACCTATGTCATAGCTTGTGGACTGATTTACGGTTGCGGTGAATACATTTTCCAACATTTTTTCCGAGTGAGTTCCATCGCACTTCATCTCAGTTACAGATGTACACAATTCATCTACATGAATCATTGAACCCTGCAATCATTACAGTTGCTTATTTCCAAAATCGTCTAGGTTTTATGCAGATGTGGCAACTAAGGCAATTAGGGAAGCTGCTACTCCCCCGCCAAAGATTATAAATTTACTCACTAATAGATCATGGCTTTTTGATGCATTGAAAGTCGTGTAGTTGAAAACACAAACGAACAGTGTGTCTTTCGAAGGTCTAGAGGAAAATTATACTTGAACAGGTGCGACTAAATATTTCTGTCAATAAATACTTATAAATTGTGTCCACTGGTAAGCAGAGAACAATGTTTACTGCAATAATTCGGTTACTTGTACACAGCCAGTGATAGCGCACTGGTGATGTCGTTAGTGAAATGTTTAATGCCAAGAATCGGTTATGGACCACAGGGACAGAGGAGAAGTCAGCGATTTCTGTAGGTCAGGTCGACGCATCTGACGTGATGAGAGTATTTTTCCAATGTCGAAAGTAATCAACCCGTAGCATCTGGAGGTTTCCGTTTGTCGAAGATTGGGTAGTGTTTACACCTCAGTTGCGCACTTGTATGGCACACGACTAGATGTGGCGTGGAAATGCTGATGGAACCTTTCGATGAACCAACTCACATAATAGCAAGTCCCCAGAAAATGGTTCTACGGATGGCCGTGTTACTTCATTCGAATGTCTGCCTCTATCTATAATGATTTTTACTGTCATTTTCTCCGTCGTTCTAAAGCACTTAACTGATTGATCACTCTGATAACTAGCTTGGCAATCAACTTAAACAGCAATTAATTTAAAGTGCATAAATTGATCTGACCACCTACTTGGACTGTGCGTCGCATTGTCTATGAATACACACTTAAGTTGTTTATTAAGTGGGTGTCGTGTAGCTAGAAATGATGTGTTATCGCCCGAAAACACTGCACTTCTACGACGCGTTTCGACCTCCTTTGATCTCATCAGATATAGACAGCAGACAGCGAACCCGGGACCACTGAGATGTTAGTTGTGACCGTTACCCCTAAGCCACCGGGTTACGACCGGCAACACATTCCTTTGCTGAACGCATGCGTCGGCTCACATTCGACATGGTCTTTTTCATCACGTGCTTGAACTAAGAAATAGGTTATCTGTTTAAGAGTTAATGGGTTATCCGTTTTTGAAATAAGTTTGTGTAGACCTGGTTTTGCAGTAACGCCCAAAACTACGTTAGTCTAGTTGTCATGTACTAGAACGGTCTAAGCGTGACTCGGCCGAGCTGTTACTGAAGTGAGCCTATCTCTGTGCTTTCCAGTGCTCCATTCCTTTTCTGCAACAAATGGATGGAGTGCTCGGTGGCCAAGAGGTCGGTCCTCTAGCAACTAATCTCCCGGACAGTGGTTACTCAGTCCCGTTCTACCACGAAAGTTATCATGGGAAAAGTGGGGTTACTAACCAATCTAGAACGTTGTACACAATTTGGACACGCGACATGATAAGTGTGAACTGGTGTCATGCATGCCAGGTTGAATTGGACCTAGAAGTGAATTTCTCGTTGACCCGCTTACTTTCGATGTACCCGCATAAAGACATTCTGTTTTATAGTTTCCTCGCTGGAAATGAACAATGAATCGTCGGCTGTACGCCGTAACGGCGCTTCGCTGCCGCGCAACCACCACCAGTCGCGCGCGGGCTGAGTATATGGCGAGGACGCCCACCCCATACGCGGATTCGAACCGGTGACCTTATGATCGCAAACCAGGCGCGCAGATCACTCGGCCATCGGCTGTACACCATACCGAAGCCTCGGTAGCACGCGGCAGCCACAGGAGGCGCGGACAAGGGATATTGGGAAGTCAGATTTGAACCATAGTCCTTTGGGTTATAACGCGGTCTGATTACACCAACCCGCCATCCGTAGACATCAGAGGGGGAAAAACAACGAGACACAAATGGCCAACCATTCCTAACCGCTCTATGCATGTACTAGATTGCATGCATATCTCCTTCGGTTATTTTTACGCGGGCTATTACCACTTAGTCGGCCAGTGGCCCAGTTGTATGCACGCATGACTTACAACTATAAGGTCACCGCTTCGAATCCGCGTACGGGTGGGCGTCCTCGCGCCATAAGCCCACGAGCGACTGTTGGTGGTTGCGTAGCAGCGAAGCGACGTGACGGTGTCCAGCTGACGCATTTTTTAATTGCCATTTAAAGAGACGTCTTCAGTCGCTTTGTTTTTCTCCTTACCTTTCTTATTTCACCTGGTGTACACAGCGCGGATGGCAACCGCACTGAGCCCTAATGCTTTCAGATCTACCGTGGTATGACCAGCGAGAATTCCATCGGTTCCTCTCGATGGTGTAATTGTTAGTATTTTACCACTTTTTGTATTGTGGCACATAAACTCAGGTATCTTTCTCACTCTCATTGATGGTGGTGGCTCGAACCATAGGATTCGGTTCTAACGCGAGGAGGCAGTCTCCACTATTTGTCCTAACTTAGCTTAGAAGACTATCCTGTTTGTTATGCTAACTCTCCATGATGAGTTATGTCCTGCAGGCCATCCAAATTTGTTTCACCCTTTCAAATCATTTTGCATTCCTCTCTATCCCATTTTGCAGCAAGCGTGGTCCGAGCAGTCTCCTTTACCCATCTATTATGAGGGACAGAACGTTCTGCCCACTATCCACGTGCTAGACCTGGCGAAGTGAGTTTGTTTGTCTGGTTATCACATCAAGTATTCTGTAGGGACGTTTGTCCGCAGACCGGTGTATCTCATCGGAAACCTTAGGAGTAAGAGAAATTGTGAAGTTTTGGTGGAGCGGAGCGAAATCTATTGATCAGCTTCCCAGACCAGCCCTGTGCCGTGAGAAGCGTCAAATGCATTTGGCTTATTTCTCGTCACAGCGTTATACAGCCAGCTACAGAAGGGATGAAAAGGGCGCTTTGCAGTTTGCTGTAACGATGGTGTAGCGAAGAAACAAACAAGCATTTAAGCTTCAGAAACTAGAGCTGCAAATTTCACTTTTTGCAGCACAATTGTCAGTGCGTAGAAGTCGCGAAATGAGTAACCAAATACTAGCTATTCTCTTGTACGTGGTAAATGCTTGATGGTGAAGCATTAAACAAATACTTGTTGGTTGATCAGACGTCGCTAGCGAAAGTGTTCCACGACATAACCGACTTCATCAAATTTAATAGCCTCCTCTCGCATTGGGCTGCATCGTGCTAGTGGAAGACTTAGCGGTGTATAAAATACAAAGTGTTTACTCGCAAGTTAACAGAATGTCATGGAAAGCAGCTGTGAGCTCGCCCAAAAGCGCCTACGAATAAAGATTGACAGGATAATATGTCAGTGTTTTCCAAGTTATGAAATTAGAGCAAGTGTATATGTTCCACACATAATAAGTGGCTGAACCAGCCTCCTTAAGAAAATAGATAACATGTGAAGCAATTCCTAAATCTACCAGTAGACGAAGAGAAGGAAATTACTTCACTTTTATGATTGCTGCTATAAGTAGCATAGCTCGTTGAGGTCTTTACGGGCATAGTATCTTCATTTATCGTATGCCTCATGTGCTATGTCTTCACGAGTTGCATCATAGGTAGATGTGTCCACCGGAAGCATGGGATTTTTATTACCCCAAATCAAAATGAGCCCAGTATGCAGAAGTATGGCCAAAGCAGACATTAAAGTGAATTCAACTGAATCTAACAAAGTGACCTGAACCAGATTCGAACCGGACGAATGCGCTTTGCTGGGCTGCTTTTTAGTCTATGAGCACATCGAGAACATGACAAGGTATATGCCTTAGCATTGAAAGAGGACTTTCCATCTTTTTCTTCAATTTAAGCGAGAACCGTGTCTTCACAAACCCTAAAAAGCGGTGTACCAAGCGTCGTCTAAACGGTTTACACAATGCTGTAGTTCTCGTTAATTCAGTAGAATCCTAATACACCCAGAGGTGCACATTATCACATAGGTCAGAACAGTGCCACTGTTTTGAAAGTGAGACAGCGGTGTAAGTTGATTGCAAAATCGAAGCTCATGATTACTGATTGCCTTAGGTAGTTATACTCAGGAGTCTACTATAGTACCTGAAAATGCCGTTACTGACCGACGAAGTTTCTTACATTACGCTACGAGTCTCCGTACAATGTGCATACTCCCATTCAGAAATCAACAATTGGCTTCTTAGGCGAACACATCTAACAACTTATGGCTGAACTATACAGCAGGTGCTCTGTAGTTAGGCAAGTGCTAACTTGGCATAACGGTACCTTCCGTCCAGGAGATATAAAGGTACAGAAAATATGTCAAACGGGGAGTGTGAAGCACAGAAATGATGTGTGTGGTATCACTTGGATTTTTTCTCCTGGGGTTACATGTAGGCACTGATTCATAGTACAATAGATGCATAGAGCTCTGTTCCATAACTCAAAAATGTTTGGACGCACTACGCTCGTTCGTTATGCATACAACAAATACTTCGCAGATATGCTGCAGCATTTACACCTGCGATCCTGTAATCGCACGAGAAAATTTCTGCACTTTTACTGGAAATATACAGTGTCCCGTCGTCAACTGAACCAGTCTATCAGTTGCGTGCAAACAGCAGATTAGTGGAACACCATCGATGCCGACGCAAAACGTGTTGCTACGGTGCAATGATACCGTAGTTTTAAATGTGTCTGCAAGGATTGCTTCTACGATGTAGGCGAGCACAAGCAGGCGTCTTACCCGTCACCAAGTGGCTGGCTCAGTTCGAATTCTTTCCTTGTTATTAAGGGTGATGATACGACGTTTCCTGTTTAAAGGAAGTATGTTTCCTTTAGGCGGTGCTGACCAATGAACAGAGAATTTATACGGGTTTTAAAGCACTACTGTAAATGTCCCGTTGGGAAGTTTGTTGAGGTTATTGAAACACTAATAATAAAACAGTCGGGACTTTACGTTTGCGAGGTTGGACTTATCGTTTGTTCCGCTGTAATCCTGCAATCCGTGGAATTTTACAGCACCCATAAACAACAGTAAATAAATCCTATATATATTGCAGGAGCAGGATGGAGACAAAGTACTGTAACGAAATGTAAGTGGATGAGTGCGTCATCCAACCGTGTTTTCAATATGGTTAGTGAAGGTGCAAAGACAAACGATTCAGTGTGAACATTCCACCACTGATGACATACATGATTGGAAAAGAAATTTCCGTGGCACTCCTAACGCTTATAATGTTCTGCAAGTTTCAAAGCGCGACATCTCCGATATAGATTGTTGCTGAGTTGCAGTAAGCAGCGGCATACATGATATGAGTCGTTCAGAATCAAGTAAGCCATTAACATCTCGCCACTTAATTAGCGATCTCGTCCGCTGAATTCACCCAGTCGTTCCAGCCTTCGCTCCTATGGGAGATGGCGCATTCCAATGATGTATTTGGATGCCTGGTGTTGGGGTCGCTGCACCGCATTAACGTCGTGTATCAGCCATGGATGAAGGCAAACATATGCAATGAGCATCTGTTAAAACGTAGAGAGGTTTATTTGTCCGAACGCCTGTCGCAACAGATCGGCGTGTTCATTTTCAGCCTTTGGGGCCTTTGCAGATCGTATGGAGCTAACTTAGTCATCTTGAACCAGTACACCCAGATCACATTCGATGGACGGTTGATGCATTACTTCGTTCGGAGCCTGTGTGAGCAGTTGATCTGGTGTCGTATGGAGAGTAGCTTGCATTTACTCACGTTTTGCTACATTAAATGCTGGATAAACCACTGATGTACCTTTTCTAGGTCACTCCGGAGAGGATGGTGGTCGGCATTCGCCTGGATCCTGCGCCAGTTATTAGTGCTATAGGCAAACAGTAGAAATAGGTAGAATTTCGTCCACATCTAGGCTCACTCAGACAGCCGCCACAAGCCCGGAAAAGCACTGTACGCGCGTTTCATCCTTTCGGGAATCATCAGCAGTGCGCATTCCATCGGACCCTTGGTAGGGCTCGAAACCGCAACTCGACGGTTGCCAGTCCGTGGTTGAGACCACTGAGCTACGGGGGACGGCAACGACCATCGTGAATAAGTTACTAGATGTGATATAGCGCCGCTCACTATCCACTGACTTACACGTTACTGCCGTGCAGAGGACAGGGTAGCCCCCTCACCAAGCGACGAGCTTAACAAACTTAAGCCGCCAATTATCTTATGGCATTATAAGCAGTTTGTTCTGTGTACTGATTACAGAAGAGTAGTAGGGGGAGTTGAATGGTATAGGTAGAATTTCGTCACATCTAGGCTCACTCAGACAGCCGCCACAAGCCCGGAAAAGCACTGTACGCGCGTTTCATCCTTTCGGGAATCATCAGCAGTGCGCATTCCATCGGACCCTTGGTAGGGGTCGAAACCGCAACTCGACTGTTGCCAGTCCGTGGTTGAGACCACTGAGCTACGGGGGACGGCAACGACCATCGTGAATAAGTTACTAGGTGTGATATAGCGCGTAGCTCAGTGGTCTCAACCACGGACTGGCAACAGTCGAGTTGCGGTTTCGAGCCCTACCAAGGGTCCGATGGAATGCGCACTGCTGATGATTCCCGAAAGGATGAAACACGCGTACAGTGCTTTTCCGGGCTTGTGGCGGCTGTCTGAGTGAGCCTAGATGTGACGAAATTCTACCTATACCATTCAACTCCCCCTACTACTCTTCTGTAAACAGTAGAAAGTTTGAAGCGATTGCCTTTGCGAAGTCCTTACTAAACACCAAAAACAAACGCGCACCTAGAACTGAGCCTTGTGGCACGAGACACTCCACTTGTGTTGGATCAGATAAAGAGCTTCGAACTCTGACAAGTAATTGTCGTTGAAGGTGAAAGTTGGCGATCCAGCTTAGAAGAGGTTCACCGCTTCCGCAATGCTGGAGCTTGGGAAGCCCTGTCCGATGGTCAAGACGAACGAATGCCTTCGGAAAAACCAGGTAGATCACATCAACGTCTTCTATAACATCAGCTGCCTCAGTCCGACTGCCATGAGTAAGTTCGTTGTGCACGCTGACTGTCGACGAAAGCCGTGCAGCTCGGGCTTAATGATGTTAAAGTTTTCCAGATAACACACTATTGTGTCGGCAACCGTGGATTCCATGACCTTGGAGAATACAGGGAGAAGAGATACTGCGCAGTACTTGGAGGACTCATTTAAGTTTTCCCTTTTGTGAATCGGAGATATTATACAAGGCTGCGTGGACTCTCAGTTACCCGCGAGCGGTTGTGTCGTGAGTAACAGGCTGGTTCTCGTTCTGGCTGGGGTTGCATTGACCAAACTTTCACGTTGCGCCAACTTCTCGACCATCGTCATGTCCACCGAAAACCAACAATGATGGTGTTTTTTGATATCCGAGCCGTTTTTTGATTCAGTAGATAGGTCGTAACGGTGGAACCGTCTGCCACAGAACGTCGTTTCCGGACACGTTTTGTCACACTCTTGAAAGAGCTGTGTAGTCAGACCTCTGGCAAAGTTGGAGCTCATGGAAGGCTTTATTTTTTCGTTTCCCCGTTACCATTAGAGTGTGCCAAGGTGGTCCTTTCCTCGCCGTTTCCTGTTTCAACTTTGCCATCGAAGATGTCCTATATCGCGCACCCGGAAGGAGCCCAGAGCTGCGGCGTTGAGCTTCTAACCCGAGAGCTGAGTCCATGGGACCTGGACTATGCTTATGACATCG